TTATTTAAATCAGACCTGTTGTCTGATTGTGTCCATGCAAAGAGACGATGATTTCCTCATTTCATTGTACATGTGCAGTAACGTTAAAGGGTTCTGAGCTCATTCCTGCGTCTCCCCTGAAGTCTACACATTAATGTAAAACCAGCAGCTCAGAACACCAACCAGTTCATTTTCTGTTTCCCTAAAGTCGACTTTTCTCTGTCCGGCCACATTTCTGCTCTGATAATGGCGTCAAAACCTTCAAATTAACAGAATAATAAAATATTTAAACAACATTTCTGAGGCCAAAGGGTTTTGCTGACATTAAACTTAAAGCTAATTTGCAGATTTCAGGCATTTTGAGCCAAAAAACACTGAATTCTTTGCGTTCTGGAGATTTTTCAGACTTCAATTTGTGCTTTTTCTGCACAAAGTTCTGCAGCAAAAACGAGAAAGAAGTTTCTTTATCATTATTATTTTTGGGAGAGACAAATGCAGGCGGGAAATACTTGAAAATGTTTTTAAAAACTGTTGTAGAGGTCTGTTGATGTGATGATTCGACAGAAATGTGGTTCAACATGAGAACGTCTGCTGTCTTGTGTCCCTGCAGAGAAACTTACAGCTGATGTGGCCTTTAGTGCAGATCTTTAGCATCAAACAGGACATTTCTTGCATTAATGAAGCCGTTTACGGACTCAGAGTGTTTCTACACAATCAGAACAAACATCTTGAGGTTTTTCTTGCAGCTCTTCCAGATGTTCTGGAGGATGTTTCTCCTCCTAAACTCTGGTCCTTTAACTGTTGGTGTTAAAGACGAAGCAGCTGCTGAATGAAATCTGATTATTTGACACCTTCAGCATGAAGAGATGAAGAGACAGACTTAGAAGTGAACCAGTGTCCCGGAAAGAGAAAATAAAAGTGGATACAGATGTGAACTTCATCAAGTTTCAGTTCTATTTCTAAGAAGGTTCACAAACTTTGAGGAAGTGATGTTTCATTGCTCTTTAAATCAGATTGTATTGTTTGTAAAAGTCGTTCAGGTCCAACTAACGGGTTAAAACTTGGACTTTGTGGAGCTCTGGAGCAGCTGAGAGTTTAATCTGCAGCCTGTTGAGCAGCAGGAGCAGAAGAACAGAGGAACCGCTGGTCTGGAGGGTAAAGTCTGAGCAGATTAGAGCCTCAGCTGCACTTTCACACACAAGGAAACCTGCAGCATCGCTCCGGTTCTGCTGCTCCTGAGCTGCAAACACCGAACCTCTGGTTGAAGTTTCACCGCCTGGACGCGCAAAGAGCGACGCAGGACGCAAGGACGCAAGGAGACGGACAGACAGACAGACAGACGGGGTCCTACCTCGCTCGTCATGTCTCTGAGGACCGGATCCGCCGCCGCAGGTGTCCTTCTGTCCTTCTGTCTTTCTGTCTTTCTGTCTTTCTCACCGACTTCTCTGCGTTTCCGCTCTCTGAGGCGCAAACGGGCCAATGGAGGCTCCGCGTTCTGGACACTCCTCCTCCTGCCGCGTGAACGCGCAGCTCGGTGCACGGCAGTGACCTCGAGCTGCTGCATAATGTAGAGAACATGCACGGAGAACCCGGAGAACCCGGAGAACCCGGAGAACCCAGAGAACCTGCAGCAGAACCGGGCCGCGCTGCCTCCAGACGTCCATCCAGGGTTCTGTCGGACTGAAGCAGAGAAACATGAAGGTTCAGAGTTTTTGCACATTTAAAAAGAAAAAAAAAAAAAAACACCCTCATTTGCATTTTTAAACATTAAATGTCAGAAAATGTTTAACCCAGAAAGTGTTTGTTTCGGTGTCAGAGCTCAGCTGAGGAGGATTCATGCTGATGTCTGTTGGTTATAATAATAAAAATGAGTTTATTTCAGGCTGAACTCTGGTCCAGCTTCATTCATGTTTGTTCTGCAGGTTTCTGTTCATATTTCATTCACAGCCTGATTTATGAAGCATTTTATTCCTAAAAACTTGCAGAAAACTTGATTTTTTTCTGGCTGTTGACAGTATTTTTTAGTTTTATGGAGTCATTTAAAGAGAAATCCAATAAAAACCTTTAAATTTATGATGTCAGCAAAGTGGAACAAGTGTTTTAAGCTGATTTATTCATGTATTTGTTCTGGAAATGAATGCAAGTTAGTGTGTATTAGCATAAATGATAATAAAGATAAATAATAAAATTGTATAGAGTTATAGGAAACACAGTCTTTCCTCCCACTGTGATCTAGTTTTATTCTTATCAACACTCTGCAGGTTTCCACATAGGAGTTTGTTCATATTTCATTCACAGTCTGATTTATGGAGCATTTTCATCCTAAAAACTTGCTGCTGACAGTTTTTTCTGATTTACTGAGTGATAAAAATCCAAAGAATTGACTGTAGAAGAATTCTGAAACTGGATTTCTGTTCTGGAAATTGTTTCCCAACAACTTCACGAACAATTTAATGTTTTCTAACTGATTTTCAGAGGGTTTTTCTTTAACTGTGTTCTTTGCAGATTAAAATAACGAGAATGAATATAATCAACAAATAAACTGCACCCTAACCGTTTAACATTTATTGATGGAGCAGATAGAAACTGGTTAAAAAAATCTAAAACAGCTGCAATATTTCAGCGACGATCAAAAATAAATTCACATTAATCT